TTTTTGTTTTTTGAGATGGAGTCTTGTTCTGTCACCCAGGCTGGAATGCAGTGGTGCCATTTCTGTTCACTGCAGTCTTCGCTTCCCAGGGTCAAGCAATTCTCCTGCCTCAGCCTCCTGAGTAGTTGGGACTACAGGCGTGCACCACAATGCCCAGCTAATTTTGTGTTTTTAATAGAGATGAGGTTTTATCATGTTGGTCAGGCTAGTCTCAAACTCCTGATCTCAAGTGATCCACCTACCTTGGCCTCCCAAAGTGCTGGGATTACAGGTGTGAGGCACCATGCCAGGCCTGTAATACATTTTTCTATCACTTTTTTGCCAATCTTTTATGTTTTCTGCTATTTAATGTTAAATGTTACTCATTTCTACTTGTGCTTTTGTTTTCAACTTTTCCTTCAGGGTGATTTAAAAAAAAATGTGATTCATTTTAGCCTGCTGCCTGTATAGAAGAATATCTTAGTATGTTTATTAGAGTGATTGCAGACTTGACCTGTGCTGCGCATTTGTATCTAATGTAGTTTAGAGTCATGATGCCACCTCAAAAAGGGTAGAGGAGAAAAATCAGATTCTTACTGGGTAACCAAGGAGCTGTCTTTGCAATTGATTTGGAGTATATTCCTTAGTTTATTTAAAATTGCTTTTCTGGCTGAGCATGGTGGCTCACATGTAATCCCAGCACTTAGGGAGGCCAAGCATGGTGGCTCACAGTAATCCCAGCACTTAGGGAGGCCGAGGTGGATGGATCACTTGAGGTCAGGAGTTTGAGACCAGCCTGGCCAACATGGTGAAACTCCATCTCTACTAAAAATACAAAAATTAGCCAGATATGGTGGCCCGCGCCTGTAATCACAGCTACTTGGGAGGCTGAGGCAGAGAATCGCTTGAACCTGCGCAATGAGCCAAGATCTTACCACTGCACTCCATCTCAAAAAAAAAAAAAAAGGAAAAAATACTGCATCTCCCACAATTTAGTATATGAGTATATTTGTTATGTGTTTCAGAGATGAGCCCAATTTGAAAACACTTACTTTATGTATGACTTTATGATTTAACTAACCTAAAAGGTATTGGGCTTAAGGAAATCCAAGAATGATTGGATGATGAATCCAAGAATGATTAGAAATCCAAGATGACTTCTTAGCTATTATTTCATTTGGAATGAAACGGATATATATGAAAACCAACTTATTTTAAAAACACAATTTGCGGCTGGGAACAGTGGCTCGTGCCTGTAATCCTAGCACTTTGGGAGCCTGAGGTGGATGGATCACAAGGTCAGGAGTTCAGGACCAGCCTGGCCAACATGGTAAAACGCCGTCTCTACTAAAAATACAAAAATTACCTGGGCATGGTGGTGGGCGCCTATAATCCCAGCTACTTGAGAGGCAGAGGCAGGAGAATCACTTGAGCCCCTGGGGAGGGCAGAAGTTACAGTGAGCCGAGATCCTGCCACTGCATTCTACCCTGGGTGACAGCAAGTTTCCATTTCAAAAAAAAAAAAAAAAAAAAACAAACCCTTTTTTTTTTTGAAACAAGGTCTTGCTCTGTCATCCAGGCTGGAATGCAGTGGCACCATCCAAGCAGTTCTCCCTTTCAATCTCTCAAGTAACTGGGATTACAGGGCCACTCCACCAAGCCTGACTAATCTTTGCATTTTTAGTAAGAGTTGGGGTTTCACCATGTTGACCAGGATGGTCTCGAACTTCTGACCTCAGGTGATCCACCCGCCTTGGCCTCACAAAGTACTGGGATGGATTACAGGCATGAGCCACTGTGCCTGGCCAGGAATTCTTATTTTTAAAAAATAATTTTATTTATAAATTTTACTCTTACTATATTATCTCAGCATAGTAATGGAAATGAGGTATGTTCATTATTAACAAAATTACTTCTTTTATTCTATAGTCTAATGTATATCATCATCAATTCAGTAACTGAAAATAATATCTTAAGTTCTAAGTGGAATGATTTTTCCTCTTTACTATCAGAAGTTTCCTAAGCTTGTTTATTTGTTAAATAATAAGCTGTTAGGGAATTTGTTATTCTCTTTTCTGAGATAGTACTTTTGATGTAAGACTGCTTGAGTACATAAATGAAAGTGTTAAATGTTAGTAAAAACAATAATTAAAAAAGTCAAATTCTTTAAGTAATTTGGATCTGGAATCAAATGAAGAAATTTTACATTTTCCTATTAATATAGTTCTCTAGGATACTTCCGTAGATTCGTAGTACCCCTTAATTCTTTTTTTTTTCTTCTTAGCATGGTACATCGTCTTTTATCTCTTCACTTTAAAACTATATGAGGATGTAGAAATATCCCTAAATTCTAAATTGTAGATTAGGAAATTTTTCATATTTTCCTTTTAGAAGAATTGAAATCAAATTCTGCCACACCTGCCAAGCCTGGTTGAACTTTCATTCTGTATACATCGTTATTCAGCCTTCATCTGTAGTTCAGGATATTTATTACTTTCGTGGTATCTTAATTTTTTCTGTACCTCCTGATTATTATAGATATTGGTGGCCCTAACTGGAATAATTTAAGAAAAGTTGATCCTTAAACAGTTACTTATTCAATGTACTATACAAGGGATCTTACTTTACCTGTCTCTGTTAAGCCTCATAACACCTGTATCATAAAACTACCTAGGGATCTATTGATAATGTATATAAAGTGCTGGTGTGGGCTACCTGATACATAGCAGATAATCAACAGGCGGCAACTGCTGCTTTTATTCTCCAATAATGTCTAGAGCAAAAGCCAATACATGCCTTCTGCTGAAAGCACTCGTTTGTGTCCTGATTATGGTCACCGCTATTTTTCCCAGGGTCTTTACTCCTGGACAATAAACAATGCCAGCAGAAACTAAAAGTGACCATTTTTCTTCTCTCTAAAGAAAAATTTAATATTGACTACATTTGTTAAAATAAGACATTTGTGTTAAGTTTATAAGGCAGATATTCTTGGGAGAAAGTGTTTTTATTTTTATTTTTTTTAAAGATACCTCTTATGGCTTTGGCTAATTTTTGAAATCTTGTGTCTTAGAAAAATCTTCATTCTTTGTCACGATTAAGGGGTGGTTTGACTGGATTAATTTTTTTCCTTAGAAAATCTCCTATAATTTTAAAGGTATTTAAACCCTTTTGGCTTCTAGCTTCCATTGGTTCTGTTGAAAAGGGGTTTTTTGGACCACTTTGAGTCTCTCTTTTTTTCTCTTTTTTGACATAGAGTTTTTTGCTCTGTCACCCAGGCTGGAGTGCAGTGGCATGGTCTCGTCTCACTGCAACCTCCGCCTCCCAGGTTCAAGTGATTCTCCTGCCTCAGCTTCCAGAGTAGCTGGGATTACAGGTGTGCACCACCACACCCAGCTAATTTTTGTATTTTTAGTAGAGAGAAGCTTTCGCCACATTGCCCAGGCTGGTCTCAAACTCCTGGCCTCAAGTGATATACCCACCTCAGCCTCCCAAAGTGCTGGGATTACAGGTGTGAGCTACCATGCTTGGTCTGACCACTTGTGTCTTGATCTTTAATTGGTTACCTGTTTTGTCACTCAGTAAGCTTTAAACCTTTACTCCTTTGTTTTAAACAATTTGCCAGATACCTTTTGTCCTCCAGTGGCTGTTTGGGAATGTTTGGGGATACTTTTGATAGTCAGAGTGCCTGGGGATGCTAGGGGCATTTCGTATCTGTAGGCCAAAGAAGTTAATTTTCTTGCAGTTAATTTTGTTGCATCTGTGGAAACAATCTCACCCAAGATGTCAGTAGAAGCTCTCTTTGGAAATGTTCTGACCCTGGGGAAATATAAGAATAATTACAGCCGCATGTTGATTATGATATATGATGACAAAAACAAGACATATGCACCAAAGATCAATGAATATTTTTGGTAATAATGTTACAGACATGCGATGTGAAATGATGGAGGAAGAAAGTATAAATGACATGGTACAAATTGAATCAATAAAAATCACTGTGAAATTCAGCCATTAAAAATTTTCTATATATGTTTATCATGTCACTGCTTGTACATTATATGCACTATTATGCTTAGTAATGTTTCTGACACTTTTTCGGTGTTTCCACTTTTGACACCTTTTTCTGTATTTCCAAATAATACCTACTCTACTTAATTACTTTGACAGATCAAGAAAATTAACTCTTACTCTTTTTTAATAGTAGGATATCTGTTCGTAACATAAACACTTAGCAATTCCAGATCCAGAAAGATTTGAAAAGAAACATGTTTGCAAAGGCTAGAACATGATTGATAATAGCTATATACTTCTAAATTAGGGTGGCATTCAGAAAGAGTTAAACAGGGTTGTACTTGTACAGTTTCATAGTAGTTTTTGAGTTAGCAATTTGCAGTTCTATTTCATTATTTTTGTTTGTTTGTTTTTGAGACTGAGTCTCTCTCTGTTACTCAGGCTGGAGTGCAGTGGCGGGATCATGGCTTATTGCAACCTCTGCCTACCGGGTTCAAGTGATTGTCCTGCCTCAGCCTCCTGAGTAGCTGGGACGACAGGTACATGCCACCACGCCCAGCTAATTTTTTAGTAGAGTCAGGGTTTCACCATGTTAGCCAGAATGGTCTCAGTCTCCTGACCTCTGGTGATCCGCCCACCTCGGCCTCCCAAAGTTCTGGAATTACAGGCGTAAGCCACCACACTCAACCTCATTAATGTTTTAGGAAATGATTTACCAGAATAGCATATGTAGGCAGCTGTATTATAAGAATTAGGATTATCCATCATTTTCTGTGGTCCATTTTACTGATTTACTTTATTAATATTGCTGACTAAGAAAACTGTACATTAGAAATACAGGACTCCAAGGAAGCAGAGAACGAGTAAGATAATAAGGTAGGAAAATTGACAAAGATTTTAAAGTAGTAGTGTGATAATTTTGTATTACAGAATAATTTAAAGCATGTTAAAATAATTATTAATGCAGAGTCTTCATGTTAATGTGCATATGGTATACTTTTACCTTTCAGAACCTAAATCACAGCCACAGCAGCTTCATCAGGGACAATACAGATCATCAAATACTGAGCAAAATGGAATAAAAGATATTAATCAACTGAGATTTCTTCCTCGAAATGATACCAGGCAGCCAAGAAATGAAAAACCGCCGCGTTTTCAAAGAGACTCCCAAAATTCAAAGTCAGTTTTAGAAGGCAGTGGATTACCTAGAAATAGAGGTTCTGAAAGACCAAGTACTTCTTCCGCATCTGAATTATGGGCTGAAGACAGAATCAAATGTGATAGACCATATTCTAGATATGACAGAACTAAAGATACTTCGTATCCTTTACGTTCTCAGCATAGTGATGGTGCTTTTAAAAAAAGAGATAACTCTATGCAAAGCAGATCAGGAAAAGGTCCCTCCTATGCAGATGCAAAAGAAAATCCACTTCCTCAAGAATCTATAGATTATAATAATCAAAAACGTGGAAAAAGAGAAAACCAAACATCTAATCCTGATCATTTTTATGACAGGAAATCACGAACAATAAATAATGAAGCTTTCAGTGGTCTAAAAATTGAAAAACATTTTAATGTAAATACTGATTATCAGAATCCAGTTCGAAGTAATAGTTTCATTGGTGTTCCAAATGGAGAGGTAGAAATGCCACTGAAAGGAAGACGAATAGGACCTATTAAGCCAGCAGGACCTATCACAGCTATACCCTATGATGATAAAGTATTTTACAATAGTGGGCCCAAAAGAAGATCTGGGCCAATTAAGCCAGAAAAAATACTAGAATCATCTATTCCTATGGAGTATGCAAAAATGTGGAAACCTGGAGATGAATGTTTTGCACTTTATTGGGAAGACAACAAGGTATGGATGCTTAAAGATATTATACACTAATACTACTAAATAACATTCTAGTAGGACTTGATAGAAGCCATCACTTTGGAACTATGAGGGTTTTTTTCTATGATTATACTTATTTAAAATCTTGGAACAGATTTATAGCCATATAAAGGATAAACAAAATATTTAATATTTTTATGGATGCTTAGGGACAATCTGTCCCATAACATTTGGTTAAGTTAGGTTTGGTTTTAGTTAACATGCCAGAAAACTATTGTAAAAGTAATTACGTGAAGTTGAACTTTATTTTACTTATCATCAGCTGAATTATGCATGTTTGCTTTTCACTCTAGTAAAATTACGCTGATTCACAAGGAAGAAAATCAGTTGAGTGGCACAAAATGAAATTTTGCGGGTTTTCAATTGAAGAAAATATTACACATTCAGCCTACTTTAAAAAAAAGTTAATATATAAGTTAATTATTTATCTTATAATAATTTGAAAATTATTAAACTATTAAAGATCAAGTGTAAAAATTATTAAACCAATCTTTAGTTCTATATTATGTGCTGGCTAAAAGAGAAAGAGAGAAATTGTAGGGGAAAGAAGGAAGGAAAGATAGAAGATGACGGCAAGAAAGAGTACAGTGGTTTGAGTAAGAGCCTGGCTGAGAGACAGAAGACCAGCACAGTGAGAACAGGAGAGGGAAAGGGACAGAGGGTACATCACAGAGAAGGGGCCTTTGCACGCTTTTTCCCTTTTGTGCAGTGTGCTCTTCTGTCAGCTACTCTTCTCAACCTCCAGGGCTTGGCTCAAACATCACCTCCTAGAAGAAGCCTTCATTGACCTGCCCCATCCTCCTACCTACATTATTCTCTTAATCAATGCGTTAACTTTTTAAAATTTATCACAACTTTTAAATATTTTTGGGTTTGGTTCTTGTATTGGTATCTCTTTGCACTACCGTGATATTAAGTTCTTTGAAACCTGGGCTGTGTCTGGTTTTCCTCTGTAGTCTTGCTCCTTTCACAGTATATGGATTTCGTAATTATTTGTTAACTCTGTTAATTAGCTAATTCTGGAGGGGGCACTTATATATGAGAAAAATAGGATGATAAGGGGATGGAGGTAATAGCAAGGTAATTAAAGCATATGTAAGGGAGTTATAGAGTGAATGTCGGGGTGGATGTGAGAAGCAACTCAAAAAGGAAAAATATTCAAAATAAGTATTTTATAGGTTGCAGTTGATAGTAAGGATATGCCCATGAGAGTGTGTAGCTATAGGGAATGGTGTAAGTAAAGGTAACTGAAGATTTCAAGGAACTGAAATTCATACTAGGGATTTGGGTGGCTCCTTTAATAAGGATGCAGTGGAATTTGGGGTCAGGAACCAGGCCTTCTTGTGTTCATTAAATAATGAGGTATAGGCAGAGTATTAGGTGTTGCCTGATGATAGAACAAGGAGGATATAGCTAGATGGCATAGGTTTTTAAGGTTTTTGTGTGACTGGGATGATAATTATTTAGAAAAAGCATCTCTGTCACATCTTTACTTAAAGCTGGAAGGAAGGGAGGAGACAGGACTGTGTGTCTTGTCTTTTTCTCTGGAAAAGCAAAAGCCTTTCCAGGAATACCAGCAGATTTGGAACTATTTCACATAGCCGCTTTCTGGCTATTAGGAAGGCTTGAAAAGCAGGTGCACTGGTCTTCACTAACCAGATTCTTATTCTTCCAACTCAGACCACTTACTTTCTGAAATTCAGGAACTATTTGATTTGAGTAGTAGGAGATTCATTATTTAGCTACTTGTCCTTCATGATGGAAGCAAGAAAAAGTAAAGTAGTTGGAAATCAGTGTTTATTGAGCCAATAGTAGCTACCTTAAAAAGAACAGTCATTGTGTCAGATGCTTCTGTGAAAGATTAAGATGAGGACGGAAAAGTGTTTTCTGTATTGGATAACGTGGGGTTATTGGTGACCTTGACAAGAACAGAAGTAAGAGATTGGAATTCACATTCAAAATATTTGAAAGGCTTGGTAAGTGACTCAGGCTTTCCATTGAAATCCTACAAGGATCATGCCCTGAGTAGTAAGTGCAAAATTAAAACAGACAACCCTTGCAAAGTCAAAAGCAACTCTCTGCAGGATCAGGGATATCATCTTATTATATTCTCTCTGCCAGTTGAAAATAAAACTCTGTTACTGGGAAAAATGACATCTTCTAGAACCTTTCCAGTATTTCATCTGCAGTGTTTATTAGTATCTTACAAAAAGTTATGAGCCATGGTTAATAAAACAGAGAATGGGCCAGGTACGGTGGTTCACGCCTGTAATCCCAGCACTTTGAGAGGCCGAGGCGGGTGGATCACGAGGTCACGGGATCGAGACCATCCTGGTCAACATGGTGAAACCCTGTCTCTACCAAAAATACAAAAAAAATCAGCTGGGCATGGTGGCGCGTGCCTGTAATCCCAGCTACTCAGGAGGCTGAAGCAGGAGAATTGCCTGAACCCAGGAGATGGAGGTTGTGCTGAGCCAAGATCATACCATCACACTCCAGCCTGGGTAACAAGAGTGAAACTCCATCTCAAAAAAAAAAACAAAAAAAAAAAAACAGAGAATGAATCAATGAATATGAATGATTATCAAAAATAAAATAAAGTAGGCCTACAGATAATTGGATTGAACAGAATTCTTTAACAAATATTAATTGGATATTCAACAAATCATAATTGAGTAGCTGCTAGGTGCTAGATAATTGAGGTATATCAGATATTTATGGCTATGCTATACTAAAAGGCCTCCAAATACCTGATACGATTATTAAAGGCCTAATGTTAATTGTAATTATCTAAAAAAAATCAATAATACTGTGTATCAGTAATGGCTGTGGTCAAAAAATAAATTTAAAAAATCAAAATAGTAAATATATTGCCTTTGCTGAATATGTTCAAAATGTCATGTAGCATCCAAAAAATAGCATCTAACAATTCAGTACCTAACAAAACAATACCTAACAAAATAGTACCCAAGATGTGTTGAGTGATTAGAATATTCTTAGAGTAATTGAATGATCTAAGATGGCTACTTTGATTCAAATTAGATGTGTACTTTCAGTTTTGGTAAGGAACTGTGGACTCCAACTAGATTACACCACCCTTAAGCATTGGGAAAATGGCAAACAATATCCTGTGAAAGAAATGGAATTAATTATCTTCTGAAATCACTAATTGAAGAGGTACCTTAAATGTCTTGTCAAGAATGGACAACTTTCCCGTTTTTTTTTTTTTTGTTTTTGTTTTGTTTTTTGTTTTTTAAGGCAGAGACCAGGGTAGAGATTTAAGAAAAGGAATTGACTTAACTATCATTAAGATATCATAATCTTCTTAATTGCATTGTAATGATATTTTGGAGATAATCAATTAGTATATATATTGTTTAAAAAATTTCGTCACAATGTCTTGCCTTCTTCCTAACTTCATTTCTGTAGGAGAATTTGGGAATTTCAGAGAAGTTCTTCTTCTAGACTGCTAGACTAGTTCAGCTATTTTTCTCCTCAACTGGAATATTACAACAACCTCCATATTGGTTTCCTTGCCTCAACTTTATTCCTTTTAAATTTGTTATCAGTATTGCCGTCACTGTGATCCTGGTCTTAGACCATGCCATTCTTTCTAGTTAAAGCCTTTCACTTGTAGAATAAATACAGATTTTAGCATTTTTATTGTGTTTATGTACCAATAAACCCATCATAAGTTGAAAATATTAAGTTAAAAATACATATATCTTAGTCATGCTAAGATATAGCATGATTTAGTGTTTAATTTACCTGAACTGGCATAATTTGGCAACTCAGAACAATTAATAGAATACAAAAGTGTGAGGCTAAGAAATAAAAGAAGAGGGGAGAGATAGAGAGCTATAACAAGAACTCTAAGATGAAGAAAATTATAGCATCTCTAAACTTGCTAACATTCAGACCTGGAAAGGCAATGCCATGGATTCACTTAATACCTTTGTAATATTAAATATACTAGTTAAAAACCAACTCTTTTGAGAGTAACTCATTTTTTAGAAGGTTGTGAAAAATATGAATTTTTGTTGTCTTTAGCATTTTCTAACTCTGGTGAACCTCTTAAGAGATACTATTTATTGGCTGGGCGTAGTGGCTCACATCTGTAATCCCAGCACTTTGGAAGGCAGAGGCAGGCAGATCACCTGAGGTCAGGAGTTCGAGAGCAGCCTGGCCAACATGGTAAAACCCTGTCTCTACTAAAAATACAAAAATTAGCTGGGCATGGTAGCACGTGCCTGTAATCCCAGTTACTTGGGAGGCTGAGGCAGGAGAATCATTGGAACCCAGGAGGCAGAGGTTGCAGTGAGCTGAGATTGTACCACTGCACTCCAGCCTGGGCATCAGAGCAAGACTTCTTAAAAAAAAAAAAAAAAAAAGAGAGTGAGAGAGAGAGATACAATTAGAGTAGATAGTGTTATACTGTAGTAGAGCATTATAGTATCCTGGCTTGAAGAAAACATTCTAAGAGCAATTTGGTTTTTGTTTCCATTTCACATTCACTAAGCAACATTCAGACCTATAATTTGGCTCCTGAATGGGATGATCTGTATTGAAGGATTACTCCAGTCAGATGACTTACTCCCAGTTAATTTAACAGATACATTTTAAAATTGTAGTTATAGGCCAGACACAGTTGGCTCATGCCTCTAATTCCAGCACTTTAGGAGGCCAAATAGAGAGGGTCACTTGAGGCCAAGAGTTTGAGACCAGCTTGGGCAACCTAGCAAGACCCTGTCTTTATGAAAAATTTTAAAAATTAGCCAGGCATGGTTGTATGCACCTCTAATCCCAGCTAATTGGGAGGCTGCAGCAAGAGGACATCTTGAGCCCAGGAATTTGAGGTTGCAGTAAGCTATGATCACACCACTGTATTCCAGCCTGGGCAACAGACTAAGAACTTGTCTCTAGAAATAAATGTAAATAAATAAGTAGATAAAATTATGGCTGTTAAGTAAATCATTTCTCGTGAGTTTGTTAATAGGCATCAGTTCTTAGAGCCCACTAACACTAAGTAACTTAATAAGTTTCTGGACTTTCAACGTCTTTAATCTTACAAATATTGGAGCCAGGTCACTTAGATCCAGTATTTGTAAAATTAACTTCTTACCTGACATCCCTACTTCATTCCAGCCACTTGTGATGACTAAATCAGTGGGCCTTCCTTTTTGCCACTTTTTTAGTCATATATTTCTGTTTTTAGAAAAAATTAATAGTTATATGTTCTGATTAGTATATAAGAATTGTTGGCCAGGTGCAGTGGCCCATACCTTTTATCCCAGTACTATGGGAGGCCAAGGCAGGCAGATCACTTGAGCTCAGGAGTTTGAGATCAGCCTAGGCAACATGATGAAACCCCCATCTGTACAAAAAAATACCAAAAAATTAGCCAGGTGTGATGGCTGATGCCTGTAGTCCCAGCTCCTCAGGAGGTTGAAATGGGAGGATCGCTTGGGCTGGAGAGCCGAGATCTTGCCACTGCACTCCAGCCTGGGCAACAGAGCAAGACCCTGTCTCAAAAAGAAAAAAAAAATTATCTTACTAATGTTAGTCAAAGAGTTCCAAAGGTAAGTTTTCCTTTGAAGAATATTACATATTGGAATACTTTAAGAATTTACATTTCCCTTAAATATTGCCTTTTATAGACAATACCAATTGTCATATTTAAAAATTCTTTTGCCTCCTCAGTTTTACCGGGCAGAAGTTGAAGCCCTTCATTCTTCAGGTATGACAGCAGTTGTTAAATTCATTGACTACGGAAACTATGAAGAGGTGCTACTGAGCAATATCAAGCCCATTCAGACAGAGGCATGGGTACGTGATACATATTCTGTACAAAGGCATAAGCTATTTTGAAGAAAATATATAACTCTAAAGAATTAGTCATAGCCATACAAAATTTGCAAGTGGAATAATATTTTGAATTTACTTATAACTGGCTAATCCTAAAGTAAGATTTTAATTTAATGCCTACACTGAACCACAATAAAAATGAATGCATTGGAATTACTTTTCTTGTATAATGTTTTGTTGTATTATGCTTTGGAAATAGGTGCCCTCATTTACATATTTGCCAAAAATTTGTACATGTGAAATGGGTTTTTATACAAATTTGTTTCTTTCAAGTTTGCTACTTTGAATCTTACTAAATTATGTCCAGCAGCTGTCAGATTCAAATCTCTGTTGGATATGCATATATCATTTTAGTTACAGGTAAAATTAAGAAAAACAATTTAAGTTATATATGATTTTACACTGCATTTACTGCATATATATTGACGTATATATGTACAGATTAACTATAAATTATCTATTTGCTAATTATTGGATTAGTTTTGTTGCCAAGTGTTATATCAAAACTATGTGATAACTTTGATGATGTAACTTAGAACTTATTGGCCTCATGGAGTCCATTTTATAAAGAACGTATGTGATTTTATATAAATTGATTCTTACATTTAGGCAAAAACAGAAATACAAGACATACTAGAATTAGCCCCGTGAAGTTTTTCTTTCATTTCTTTAATTTGTGAGTAGCTGTTAATAAAAGCCAATATCAACAAATATGTTAGTATTTTCCTAAAATAGCAAAATATTCTAGAAAATTATCCAGACAGTAGGCTTCATCATTGAAGGATACATTGTTTTCTCATGAGCTGCTTTTAGTTTTGGTCTTCTAAAATTTTTCTGTCATATCTTCAGTGGTACCCTTTCTCCACCTTCCAAAAATAGAAAAAAAACAGCAAGAAAAAACTGAATAGCAGTAATAATGTTTTGGGCCATGGATCTTTATTTTTTGCCTTTTTGTTCTGGAGAAATTATTATTTTCTAGATAATTTATTATTTCATATCTTACAACATAAGATTACTAATGGCTCTTCTGTTTAATTAAGAGATCTTTCCCTAACTTTTATTCTCTAAACTTTAATTACTTTTTGCCTAAAAATATCCCAAATCATCAGTATCTAATTTACATCTTTCTTTTCTTGGAGAAACTTGATGTAACTATATTTTTACTCTTCTGGTTCTGGTATGATGGCTATTTTTATTTTCTCTTTTCTATTAATACACACATTTTAATCTGGTTTTGATGACAAAAGTATTTATTGAATCTGTATTTCTGGAAGTTGAGTCCTGGTTTGCTATTTATTATTTTCCAAGTTGGTTTTAGCCATAGCAGTCAAAGATTCAAAATACAATTCTTATGTTATTAACTTCCTACTTTTTAGAAGATTTAATCAGAGGTTAATATTATTCTTCTCTCCCTAAAGAAAAATTTAGTTTTCTTACGTGGTTTCTTCTCTCCTTCCTTTTGCTGTTTCAGGGTGGCCATAGCTGAGGAGCACATTTCCTATTCCTCACTGTAGCTCTTCTATTCAAACGTGTTTGGTCACGAAGTGATCATTTTCTTTCTACAGTCAGTAGAAAGTCTTTTCCTGTTTCTCCCTTAATAGTCCTCATGGCTTTATTCTTGATTTTAGGTCTGTATAAGCTTAGATGGACAATAAATTAATCAGGTGTTGCAGCTTATTTAATGATTCTGTTCTGAACTACAGCAGTACTTTCATATTTTTCCTACTTATTTGTGAATATGCTTTATTGTGTCATTTTTTAACCTATTTTCTTTTTCTGCAGTCAACTTAAAAATCTTTTATAAAATACTTGAAATATTTTACAGAAAGAAGCAGGATAGAGTCACTAAATCTTTTGGAGATTCTGATATTTCTTTTCTCCTACTTTTATAATCAAGTGATTTTTGATGTTCATGAATTTGTGTAAATTACTATAGCAAACGTTTCTGAATCATGCACATCATGATCAGCCTTTCTTCCTTATCTGCATAAATAATTAACTTAGTTGTGAGGAATATCTCCTTGAAATGTAGAGGCCACCAGCTTAACATATCTTGACCTATTTCTATTTAAAAAAATATTTATGTGCATATAGATGTAAAAAAAGCCCTGAAGAAATATAGTCTGTGTTGTTGTCAGTACATGTAATGTAGAGTTAGTGTAGAATTCTCTTAGCCTCTGAGAGTATTGAAAGTATTAATGTTGGAGTCTTAGAGTGCTTTTTAAAAATTTTGGTAACAGGAAACTGTAACAAGTTTTACGTTAATCAAAAATGTACAAAATTATCAAAAAACAAAACATTCACTGTACCAATAAGAAGGTAACTGTAACTGATAAGTCATACTAGAAAAAATAAAGGGCTACAAAGCTGCAGGGAGGTGGTTAGAGGCCTTAGCACAATTACACTATGGATTGTGGAATTTTTAGTTTTTTAACTTGTGCACTATATATGCGCACTACATTTTTTTTATTGTGAAATGATATTGTATCTTTTATGAAGATTTATGTTTGTTATTGCCACAAGATTTTGGAAAACTTGCTTTCCTAAATATAGCAGTGAACATTTAGTGAAGATTTTTTTAAACTAAATTGCAGAAAAACAGTCAAAAACCCTGCATATAAGCCAAAAGCATTTGTGGAAAATTAGTTGCTTGTATTGTCTTTTAAAAGTATAAGCATAAATCATTAAATAAAAAGCATGATATATTAAGTGACTCACTAAGTTAATAGCTTGTATGAAAAATTAAAATAAAAATCAAGTTAATACTTCAAGTGTTAATGTTTTTCTCATGAATTTAGAAATTATTTGCCTTAAATTTGTCAGTAGGCCAAATATTTATTTCTCCTTTTCGTGCGACTATATATTTTCACTTCCAGAACATACTCACTTGGGGAGTATATTTTACATGGCCAAAATGTGTGTTTTGATTATCATTAAATACTTAATTTTCTTCAAAATAATTCATTAAACTTTTGTGGTCATCCCTGATTTACTTATTCTAGCTAGATTTCACCTAGTTTTTTTTGTTTGTTTGTTTTGTTTTGTTTTGTTTTGTTTGGCTATCTTGAGATATTGTATCTTAATTGGATGCCTTTATTGTAGTGAACTTTCTAGTTATCACACATAATATGAGATTAACAGCTCATTATTAACTGGATAAGTGCTCTAATTTATTTATTTTAAAAAATGAGATCTTTGAACTTTATAGGATTTTTCTTATTTTAGTAAAGTAAATGAAACATTATGGAGTCTCATGTTTTACTAGTAGAATTATATATGGAAAAAAGCAGATTATTTTCTGTTTCCTACCACTGAATGAGAAAACATTAGGGGCAAAAAAATACCTGCTACTTGTGTTTCCCACAGGCCCTTTCCAAATTGGTTCCTTTAAACTCTAAAACTAATTCCAGGAAACCAGTAAAAAGATGCCACAGGCAATTTGGAAGCTTGTAAAATAACCTGGTGCTGCTGATCAGGCAAGATTTTTGTGTTGTTGCTTTTGAATTGCTCTCCTAAACCTGGAAAAATACTGTTGGGTCCTGATTTTCCAAATATATTCATGTCCTGAATTATATTGAGACTTTTATGTCCTAAGAAATGTTTTAGAATGTGCTGATATCTAATCTTTTCAAAAGTTCATAGTATCTGCTTCTTGGTGTCAGGAAATCATCATTGTTTAGCTATTATTCCAACTAGAAAAAAGTGATTGTGTAGATAATTGTCAGTTCTAAGACTGTAACATACAGTACACATCATCTTGGGCAGTAATTCTGGAAAGTGATAGGCAAATTGTTACTGTTTTGTAGGCTGTCATCCTATTCTAAGTGTTTTTCTGGACAATATTAATTTATTCAACAAATACTCATTATATATCTAGTACATCTCTTAGGTGTCTGGCACTGTTCTACCTCAGGGTATATATAAGTCTATAAAACACAAAAATCCCTGCCATCTGCACAAAGATAAGATAAGTCATAGTTTTTATGATGTGAAACAAACTGAAATATCTAATTAGGGTCTGAATTCTTAACTTCCTGAAGCTTTAAACAAAATACTAATAGAGAAGATCTCATTTACTGAAATAAGGTAACATTTATGCATTTGGAATACATTTATGAATAAATGCTCTGTCCTTCTGTGTCAGCAGGTTTTATATCTCCAGCACAGTGAAGTTTTAATTTAAATAATTACAGATTATTATTCCATATTAGTTTAGAAATAAAATTAATGTGGAAGAAGAAAACATAAAGAATTTGTCTCTTTAAAGAATTCTTATCTATATATTTTATCTATTTAAAAGGTAAAATTTGTTTTTAGGAGGGTTTGGGTTCCGTTTTTTTGTGATAATTATATATATTTTTTCATGCTGGCATACTTTAAAATGAAGAGCTATCAATCTCAAGTTTTAGTTTTGAAGTAACTTGCTATACAAATTATTTTGTAATGTCATCCTGGGAAGCACGTTTGGAAGTTACCTTTTCAAATTCAAATAATATGAATAAAAAGCTATAAATTATTCCAAAAAAGGATAATTTTTATAAAAGCCATTGACCTCAAAGGAAGATCAGAATTATGTAGCAGTGAGATTTTGTCAATTAATGTTTTGTAAACCATATAAGCACCTATGTGATCATAGCCCAGAAGATTTTTCTATTTTATTGATAAGTTCGTAAGTTAGCTATTATAATTTTCCATACTTACTGGTTAAGGTCACTGAAATACATCTTCTTCCACCATACATATTTTGGGAAACTTTCAGAGATTGCTATGTGAGCAGTGCTCATTTTCTTTTGCAATATAAATGAGTAAGTCAGAAGGAAACTCTATAGCTAGTCCCATTTAAGAACATAATTTTCAAATCACGGTACGTGGAACTTAGGGATTCCATGTAGTATCTTTTAGCTTTCTTTTAGTAAAGTTTGATTGTATTAGATGGTGCTTCATTTATTTCTTTGTCATCT